GCTCTTCTCTTTCAGTGCCAGACACGTCACCCCCTGGAGCCCTTCCCTGTCTCACTGCTCCCCAAAGGCACCTTGTGCAGCCTGTGCTTCCCTGGGCTGAGCTTTGGCCCCTGTCACAGATGGTGCCACCTTGGTTTGTCTTCACTCTCAGCAGAGCTCTGCCAATGCCAGGGCCTTTCCAAAGGGACATTCCAAAGGAGTCTTGCTCTTCCCCTGGAGCTTCAGCACCATGTTCTGCCTGTTATCTGGGCTATTAAGTTTCCCTAATCTCTCATATCCTCACACCTGTCCTGACATGACCACCTCAATGCTCATCTTGTCACACAAATTGTTAAGAGAAAGGCCCTTCCCAGTTTTCTCTTCTCCTTCCTCCTTCTCCATTCAGATCCCTCTCACCTGTGCATATGGGAAGGGCGGTCAAAGTTTGTTTGTTTTCAGGAGTCTGATTAAGATGTGAAACCCATTAGAGTGTTGGACAATGTAACTTTATTGCACAAGTTGACTTTAAGACCCGTTGTGCTTTTAGCAAAGTTAACCGGATGTCCACTATTATCATAACTGAGTTCCTCCTTGGTTTGGTTACATTCTGCAAGAGAGATACAAATCCCCTTGGAACACAATGGGACAGGTCGTCCATAGGGCTGAGGAAGGTGATGGAGGGGAAGATGATGTGGGCAAGGGTCGTTGGCCCCTTGCCCTCCAGTGGGGCACGCCCAGACTGTTGCCATGAGGTGATGAACGGGCACTGTTTGGCTGCCACTCAAGCACCACCTTGTGCTGCGTCCTGGCCCTCCGTAGTGTAATGTAGAGCTGATGGAATGGGGTGTCAGCGCTGCTGAGGGGAGCAATGCTCATCCTTCCATCCACACTGTGCTGCTCCACGGGGACACCCGCCAAGCACGGGCACCGACCAGCCCTGCAGAGCCTGGTAGGCCTGGCCTGTCTGTGCAGGTGAGCACAGTTTATTGATAGGAAGCAACTGAGAAAGCAAACATTTTATATCCCTTTTAAATCCCTTTAATTCCCTTTTTACTAGCTAATACTCTTACAGAGTCTCTTTGTACTTTTGTATGAACATCAGTAAATAAAGTAGTTTTTCTTGTATTCTTGTTTAACTTTTGATTCTCTTTGATAATAGTTTTTTTTTCACACTGAAACAAAAGATGTTTTGTAGTGTTTGAACTGCTGTACTTCTCTTTCTTCTGGGCAGGTATCCTAATGAAGGGATACAGCAAGCTCCTGAATTGTGTTTCTATCAACCTTTTGTATCAACCTGTGAAAAACCTTTCTGATAACGTTGTCCCTGATAGAGAGGTGACAGCATCAGGGGGAGCTTGTGCTGAGCATGTGCCTACAGATGTTTTGATGTTTAGGGAGATTGTTCATGCTTTACATTTCTTTTCTTTTTTTTAGAAATAGTAAAACTTCTTCTGGGCCTGTGTGCAAGCAGAGCTCCAAGGAGAGCAGGTGGGAGATGGTGCCACGGGGCTGGAACATCCAGCTGCAGAGCTTCGAGGTAAAGAGTAATGCAAGAAGGGGGATGTCAGTCCAAGATGGGCCATGTCAGAACTGGTGAGGTTGGGGGGTGAGGAGTAAGGTTGGTCACACAGGGTCAGTCTGGATCTCCTGAGGAGACACTCAGCATCAAGATCACTTAGAAAACACCTCTATCACCTCTCCACTGAACTGAAAAATATCTATCCTAAAAAAAAAAAAAAAATACAAACTTTGAAGAGTTGTTTTGAAATTGCCTTGAAGACAATTAAAGGAAGACAAAGAGCTCCTGAGGGATTTCTGGATTTAATGAGCCCCATGGAGTATTGGCAGCAGAATCCAAGATTCTCAAGTACTGAGAGAAGATTGAAGAAGCAGCTCAAGAAGTCAGAAGCCAAACTCCCAGTCCCTTGAAGCATTGCTGGGCCCCACTGAGGGCAGGCCCTGACAAAGCCTCCCCAGGGACTCCTGAGAGCAGATCCTTGCAGGCCAGGAGTGCAGGCAGACAAAGGAAAGTGTCTTGTGGTGGCCTGAGGGGCAGAGGCAGCTGCCAGAGCCAAGGGCAC